AACTCCTTTAGCACATCTCTTGTCAACAACTTCAGCAGGAACAATGTCATTAATCTTCAAAATGACAAACAGAGATTATAATTTTCACTGTGCCCAAATCACCCAAATCTTTGTACTATAGGAATCTTATCCTGATTATTGCATCTACCAGCTCTGTAGTAATAAAGAAAATTGCTTTAAACAGCGATTAAAAATTTTGTTTTTACAATAGGGCCCTGTAGAATTGTTCTTGTAGTATTTTGTACACTATTTTGTCTAATCCAAACCAATGTTTTAAAAAGCATAACTGAGTCTACTTTCATGTTTATTTGATTACAATTCTAGACATATATTTCATATTAAACATACATTATCAGTTTACAAAGTAGATACGAATAGAAAACAAATTATTTCATCAGTGTTAACTATAAAATACACTAAGCTACCCCTTATTTCAGAGTAAGATATCACAATTCTTTATTTTAGAATATTATGTCAAAAGAATTCCTGAAAAATTCATCCACTATTTATTATGTTTATTTGTATTAGCCTTTAGGAGAAATTTTGAAAGCATAATCGAAAAACAAAAAAATTAAAGCTCTTGCTTTTTGCTTGAAATTTAGACTCTATTTGCTATTTATTTTGACCACAAGATGGGGCTGTCATTTCACAATTTTGGCAAGATTCATACACTATGTAAACAATGTACACAGATGAAAATTAATAAAATAAACTTTAAGAGGCTATCATGTTTCAGATATGCATTATTTTGCATTCTCTAGCCCCTATTCTATGCTCAGCAGAAAACTACCTTTCAATTTGTCCAGTTCTCACTAAAAGTTATTGAGCTTTGTCAAATATAAAATTGAATTATGTATCACTATGTAATTTCCTCAGGGACTTTTCTCTCATTTCACATTAAATCCCTAAAGGAAGTTACTCAGTTTAAGCCAGTTTTAAAAGTAATGTCTTTAAAATTATTTTAGCACAAGTAATTCATTAACCATACAAATTCACACAAAATCTCTTCCTTCTTCTTCATCCCTTAATTGTCTTTAGGGGGAAGATGATTTGAAAGGAACTGTATTTTCTTTGTTTATGGCATACATAATTTTTTTCCATTTCACTATTAAAATTATTCTTAAAATTGCTTATTTGTGTTTTGTATGGTCAAATAGGCAGAAATGTCTTTCCGATTTTCAAAAGAGTATAATAAATATTGAGATTTGTTTTTGAGACAGGGTCTCACCCTGTCACCCTGGGTAGAGTGCTATAGCGTCATAGCTCCCAGCAACCCTGAACTCTTGGACTCAAGCAATCCTTTTGCCTTAGCCTCCCAAGCAGCTGGGACTGCAGGCACCCATCACAGCACCTGGCTAGTTTGTCTATTTTTATTAGGGACAGCATCTCCCTCTTGCTCAGGCTGGTCTCCAACTCCCAAGCTCAAGCAATCCACATGCCTCAGCCTTCCAAAGTGCAAGGATTACAGGCGTGAGCCACCATACCCTGCCAATATTCAGATATTTAATGAAGACAAAATAGCATACCAAACTAACATCAAATAAACATTACCAGAAAATAGACATTAGTATCCCTCAGTAGCATGTCAGAAATTTCCAAATGTTTTCTAGTACATTTTAATATGTTAAGAATTTAAACAAATATATAATTTAAGTTTCAAATTTGCTTAAATGCTGTTAGGGAGTATAAGGTTTATCAAGTTCACAGAATGCCTAGACTATAACTCACTTTCCCAATTTTTCCAATTCCTTTCATCAAAATCATTTAGTTGTATAGTACTTTGAATTTTTAAAGGATGTCTAATGTATAGTTTTCTATTCCATTATTGCTTAGTTTTAATCCAAAATCCATTGTTTTCATTAAAGAAGCTCTATAGTTCCCTCATTTTTCTCTCCAATGCCTTTTTCTCTGTAGTGTTACTCTAAAAGAAGTCTGTAGCTTGCTATTCTAAAAGACCACAGGAAAATAGTGCTGTTTGACAAAGCTGCTTTCATGAAGTCTTAAAGACTTTAATTTTCCAAAATAGTCAACATGAAGTCAGAGAGAGTTATTTATACAGACTGACTCTGAACTGTAACTAAGAATTCTGTCAGGCTCTTCTGCAACTTAAAGAGATGTGGCGAATAAACCACTCCATATTTCAAAGGAATGACAAGTTCTAAACATGTCGTATAAGCTTCAGGGTTTAGCAAGCAGGGGAATTAAGATGTATGTATGAGAGACAGGAAAATAGAGGCCTATGTAAAGAGATCCTGGAACGTGGATGGACCACTCAACTCACCTATTTATTCTTCTCATGTTTTTATTGCACAGTTACTTGACCTCTTAAGTTATGAATACAGGTAAATTACTAGTGTTTTCAAAAATGAAGACAATAGACAGAACCACTTTGGAAAAACTTACATTAGAAATTGAGCAAATGCCATCCTATGAACATGTAAAGCCCTTTGTAACGTATAAACGTGTGTGTGAGCAGACACACATGGAATTACTACAGATACCTACACACTTTCACTTGCTCTAATTACAGGAGTAATTCCCCCATCTTCCTTCTGCTGTCTTTTCCTTTAAATAATTAATGTACAAATATGTTTCCATAGGAAAAGATTGAAAGAACACAGACGTATAAAATATAAAAGGCATAAATCCCATTTACTCTTCCATAATCCTACACCTCTGTCCCCAGTATGTTCTGCTCTGGAACATTTTCTGATTTTTACAAACATAGTTTAAAAAAAATAAATGGCATTATCCTCTAAATAGTGTGACTTTGTCGCAGGTTCCTATCTCTTAGAGATATCTGACTGTTGGGAGACTCACAGCTGACCCTCAAACAAGGCAGGTTTGAACAGCACAGGTCCATGTGTATGTGGCTTGTCCTCCTGCCTCTGCCATCTCTGAGATTGCAGGAAAACCAATCTCTCCTGTTCCTCCTCCCCTCATCCTGCTTCAGCGTGAAGTCAGTGAAGACGAAGACCTTTAGGATGATCCACTTAATGACCAGTCAATATATTTTCTTAATGACATTCTCTTTTCTCTAGCTTACTTCAAAGAATGCAGTATATAATACATTTAACATATAAAGTATGTGTTAATCAGCTGCTTATGTTATTGGTAAGGCTTCCAGGCCACGTGAGCCTATCAGCAGTTAAGTTTTTGAGAAGTCAAGTTATACATGGATTTTCAACTGCAATTGGTCAGTTCCCCTAACCCCCACATTGTTCAAAAGGTCAACTGCATCGATATATAGATATAGGTATGTATACATGTGTGTGTATGTGTCTCACTCTTTTGAGAAGTTTTCTAATAGCCCATAAAATTAAATGAATCATACAATAGAAATGGTTCCTGGAACAGTCTTCTGCTGAGTGGACTTCAAGCTGTAGTTTTCTCCATCCGTCCAATCCCACTTGTTTTCTGCTTTTCAAGTTTTCTGATCTACTTATGGAAATTTTTCTCAATTCCCCTAATTATGAATCATTATTTTTGAAGGTACATCTTATATTATTTCAAAGAGTCTGGGATTAGAGCCAGAACAGAAAAATGTACTCAGTTGACTACCTTAATTATTTCCAAAAACATGGTATAAGATAAAAATATTTATAATAGGTGACCACCGATGTATAGTAACTGAAAGGAACCAGTATCTGGTAGATGTCTTTCCTCTGAACTATAGCTCAAGGGACATTAAGCTGGCTTAGCCTGTAGAACTTTTATAGCCAGAGTCTATTCTGATTGGTTGGCTTACACACCATGCCAGGGTATTATTACACGTTTCAAATACCATCTATGAAGGATAGTAAAATATTACCCTAATTGACGGATAGCAGGAATTTGCTTTGGGTATTAAATGCCATGAAGGAGAGAACAGAGACAGAACCCAAATTCCCCAAGTATGACGATTTTATAATTCAGTAGTGTTGATAAGATATAATAACATTAAATCTATCAAATAAAAATATCACAGACTTTATATCCAGATATTCCTTCAGACTATTCAATTCACATATTAAAGACAAATCGCCAATAATAAAGAGAACAACAAAAACTTATTTTAAATTATTTTATTTTTCATAATATTCTAACACATGGTGTTAGAAAATGAATTTTGGCACCATGATTCAGAATTTCTTTTCAAGTTTAACCTTTAAATTAAAAACAGTAGCTACAATAAGGATACTTAAACCTTACTCAGGGAAATGGTGAAAAATCAAGTTAACGCGCTGGGGGGGTGGGGGGGCAATTTTTAAAAAGTAGCCTCGATGGAAGGCAAAAAAGACACAGGAAAGGGTACAGCGGACATGACTCCAGGACGAGTAAAAAGTGAAAAACCCTCCTCCAAAAAAAGAATAAGGAAATAAAAACAGGGTAAAGGGAAGAAGCAAGACTCAACAACTTCACAGACCTGATACAAAATTCAAGTGCTTAAAAAGTTTTTTTCTAAATCATAAAATGCACTACTAATCTCAATGAAATTTTCTTTTTTCCCACTATTTTCTATCTTTTTTTTTTTCAAAAGGAAACAAAACAATAAAACCTGTTTTGACTTAAGGACACTTGCTATTTATAAGTCAATGCCTGATATACTTTAAGAAATAGAAAGGCCTTCCTAACTCTAATAGCTAATTAATACAGTCCACTTTGGAAGACTCATCTGAAGAAACACAGGGTTTCATTTCTCACACAGATGTCAACTAATCTGTCTAACACTATAAACACAAATGTTTGCTCCCCTGGATATGCTCCTTGTTGTGTTCTGACCTAATTTTCTTGAGGAAAACATTGTATTTTATGTTCCCTTAGTAACTACTATGACTGAGACCTGCGTAGGTGGTCAAAATGTACTTACACAATTGCACACGAAGTCAGAATCAGATTTTCAAGGTTTTGAGACTTGTAATTTTCATTTACGTTCATTTTGTCTACGTGTTGATAAAAAAAATTCTTCCCAGGCTTTCATAAATAAGAAAATATTATTAGTGTTATTTGTCACGGGTATATTGTACCTGAATATTTTATCAGCTTGAAACAAATTCATAAAATTGTCATCATTGTCACAGAAAATAAAGCGTAGAAATAAATATTTTCTTTCACTTTTTCTTTCTTTTCTTCTTCAACCTATGTTTTAAGGCTCAGAGCAGATATTAAGAAATATCAACTTTTTTATAGAAAGTTTTCAAATGTTCGGCCCGAAGTGAAGTTGTTCTGTTAAAGTTACTTAAATATTCTTCTCATCTTGTCCAGCACCACTTCAGAGACATGTTCACGCCAGTCATCCACTGAAAAGAAAATCCGATTCAATGAGAAGTAAATAATTTAGGGATCTATGAAGGACACTGCAATGTATCTCGTTCCATTTTTAACAGGAAGTCCTTCATGCAAATGCGTGAGTCTCCCAGGATGCATGAAGCTCCAGCCTTTTCGTGGCGATTCAATCGAGCAATTGTACCTTAGAAATTTGCATCCGCCTCCCTAAAAAAATTAAAACAAAGAAATGTATGGGCTTATCACTTTTAATTTTTTAATCGGTGACAAAATTGAAATTATGACATCCAAGCAAAAGAACCTAAAGTAAAAATTCATCTTGATAATGGCACATTTCTTTTGGAAAAATCGAAAACAATGAATAACAATTACCTGAAAATCTTCTCCTACGTTATTCAGGGCGATGTTAATGGTGAAGGTGGAAGCATCGTGATGCGGGCGGAGAGAACGCTGTCTGTCGGGGGAGTATTTCACTACGAAATTTAGGAGTGCAAATCCCTGAGAAAGCAAGAGAAGCCAGTGATTTGCTCATCACTAAAAACATAAAAAGAAACACATTTGTGTACAAATTAGCAGGAAGCAGGCCGAAGGGGTGGGAGGATAACTACCTTTGTGTAATAGCCTGCGAAGACCTTCAGTGTAACCGGTGCAATAAATTCCCGGATGAAATGAAGCCACACGCTCTCCAGCCCGACTTGCTTCATGTGGATATCATCAGTTGGGACATTTTCATAACCACCAGATATACGGCTATCCTAGAAACATAATACATGTTTTAATTTTATAATTAAACAATCATAAAGTGTAATCCATGTCCAATTCACATTTATATGATGGCATTTTTTTAAAACACAGATCGTAATAGACAATAAAAAATAACAGTTGTACAATTATGGTGTTCCATCTGCTACAACTGTAAAACTACTCAAAATAACGTTGGTAATGTGGCTTTGCAAAGGTACCAATGATGACGCAAAGCGTGTCCGTCAGCAGACTCCTTTCCTACTTAGTGAATGTATGCGTGAAGTTTAATTATCAGGTATCTAAAGCTGACTTCCTAATCCCCCACAGCCCCCCTAAAAGATGAAAATACCTGAATTACCTTTCAGTGACCCTTCAGGCATCTTAGCTGCTTCATGATTATGCAGCCCCCATTTCTGATCTTTGGATTACAACCACTGAAAACAAGTTGTCCTTGCTATTTCTTATTTCTATTTTGTGACACCCAAAGTCTTTCAATGATCACTTTTCATTATTCTACAACCTACTGGCTTCAAGTTCTTCTTTATACTTTGAACCTCCTTCTCCATCAGCAGCTAACTACCTGGGCTAAATAATGGCAGTGATATCCTTCTCAGAGGATAACTTCTTATTTGTGGGTTCTCAGAGGATAACTTCTTCTAAGACTTTAACAAGGAAAGCGAATGCAAACTCAGTGACACCAAAAGCTCGCAAATA